AGAGAGAGAGAGAGAGAGAGAGAGAGAGAGAGAGAGAGAGAGAGAGAGAGAGAGAGAGAGAGAGAATGCCACAGGAAGGTACCACGGCCCTCGGGTGTGCAGCAGAAATGCCTCTGCAAGAGATTGTGTGGATGACGGCAGGAATAGGAGAGAGAAACTGTGAAGAAGGGAGAGGGGGGGCCGCCTACATGCATGACTGTGAAAGCGGGAAGGGTGACCGAACGACGACTTCGCAAGTGATGGACGCATCTCGCGGATGACAGCGAGAGAGGCGCTTGGAAGCTGACCGGCTCGGTGTCCCGCCAAGTGAAGAGACTGAATGAAACGAAATAGCGTCAGAATGAGTGAGCGGGTGAGCGGCGTGCAAGGATTGGCTACGAGTGTCGCCGCCACTGATAGGGATGCTGGGCGACTGATATAGGTGACTGCATGCCTCCTTGAGCGACAGTGAGCGACAGAGCGATGGGGCGAGCAAAGCCCCATATGACAGACGGACAGATTAACCAGCCTGCCTGGGTGACAGACAAGGCGAGCAAAGACTGATTTACACGCCGCTTTCTATTTTCTTCTTTTCCTTACTTCACTTCTAGATCGGTTCCTTTTGTTTCCTATTATTATTCTTTTATTCTTTTATTTAATCAAATCCATCTAAACTCAATTAGGACTTTCTCCAGAAAAATCTCTCTCGCAGCCGACGACTATCAATTGCGTACTCTTTCAGCTTATCGGTCTGTGTCGGTACGACCGCCACCGCCAACTCAGTATTGCTGCTCTGCTTGCTGGTTTTCTCAGAATCGCTGCTGGACTTATTAGGGTGAAAGGTAGACAAGATTTGTTGAGAAATGCTTCTGTACTCCGGTATGATGGTTCCTCCTTGCGCCAGGCGATAGTGGAAATACTGCACCACCCGCGTCGCTCCGTCTTCTTCGTTCAGCTTTTCGCTAAGTTCGAGAGCGTTCCTCTTGGTTTCTGGGAGCTGCATGACCTTCAGGGCCTCGCGCAGGCGGTATTTGGTCAATTCCTTGATCGGGATGGGTCTGGGCCCTACCCCCCTAGCATGAACACAGTCCCCCCAAAAGGGCTGATCGCCGAAGAACGGGATGACCGTGGTAGGACAGCCTGCCTTGAGGCCGGCGGCTGTGGTCCCCGCTCCACCGTGATGAATCACAGCGCTGCAGCGCGGAAACAGCCAATCGTGGGGACAGTTATCGATCGAGTACACAGAGGGGGGGAGCAGCAGCTGACGCCGGTTGGGATCGGGATTCTCATTGTCGGCATCGCTGTCGTCCGACATAGATCCCAATCCGCCCCAACCCTTTTGGATAATGCCGCGACGACCTTCATCCAGGAGGGCCTCAACCACGAGACGAGTGACATGGGCCGGACGCTCCACAGGCAAACTGCCAAACCCGATAAACACGGGTTTCTCCCCCCCTTCTAGGAAGTCAAGCAGGTCCTGGGGAGGGGTGTAATTGGAGCGCAGTTCCAGAAAACAGAAGCCTGCAATGTCGATGGGGTTCTGCTCCCAATCCTTAGGTTTGGGGGCCAGATGGCGGCTCCAGATGTAGCTGAAGGGGACGTGGTAATCGTCTAAGCAGGGGCCCCTCACACCGTGAATGCTGCTAAGGCTGAGGTCGCGGGTTCGAAACCGATTGATGATGCCGCCGATGCCCATCCACATCATCGCATCAACCATCGCGTAAGAGAGGCGATTCTCGCGCGAGCGATTCATTGTCAGGCTCGGAATTCGCGCCAGAGGATGCGGCCATTTGGAGGTGGCGCTCCAGGGCATGGTGAAAACCATGTGAAGAGGCTTCCTCAATTTCTCTGACACGTGCGTATGGCCCAGACTGGGGGGATTTGCCATAATCGCATCGCACGGAAAGTTGCCCGGCGGGGAACCCGGGTAGGGATCGGCTTCTGTGCAAGCTTTGATGGTCGACTTCACTATCGCTTTCAGCTGCTTGCGTTGCTGCATGATCTGTGCAGTACCCGACGGCAGCAGCCCGCCATTCTTGACCATGTACTCGGCTAGTATCTTCGGATCGCCTCCCAGAGGGTAGAACTCTAAGCCGTTCTGAGTGACGAACTCTCGGAAATTGCCGTGAGTCGCCAGTCGAACGCGGTGTCCGCACTCGAGAAGCTTCTTTCCTATCGAGATGAAGGGCTGCACGTCGCCACGTGTTCCAACCACAAGCATCACAATGTTCTTCTTGCTAAAGGCCGTCGGAGGAAACGTTAGCCACGAACGCAGGGGCTTCTTCTTCGTCTTCCCCAGTTGGCTCTCATCCTTGTCCTCCTCATCCTCCTCCTGTTCCTTCTCCTCCTCCTCTTCCTCCTCCTCCTCCTCCTCCTCCTCCTCCTCCTCCTCCTCCTGCTGCTGGTGCTGTTGCTGCTGCGCTCCTTCTTCCTTCCCGGGGTACACGCCGTCACCCACCGGATCACTCAGGTACGCGGAGTAAGCGTCCGCGTAGGAGTTCAAAGAGGAGGGGGGAGGGGGAGGAATAGTGCACAACCCTGCGTGAACACCTCGGTGCATTATTTCGGGCGGCAAAGAGGAAGGGGTCGCCTCCAGCTCTCCCATTGGATTGATGCGAAGATGAGAGTGAAGACTGAGCGCTGCCTTCCCGGCCAGCATACGTTTCTTCACAAACGAGCGAAACCGATCCCGCCGCTTCTTTCTCCTCGCCTTCTCGCCGGGTTTTGTCCCACTCCCCTCCTCCTCCCCCACCTCCTCCTCTTCCTCCTCCTCCTCCTTCCCCTCCCCCTCCTCATCATGCACCTCGTGCTCTTTGATAGGTTCTCCGCCCCCGCCTGCCTCAGGAATCGGCGGAGCAATGATGACGCACTCGTCGTCACTGTCCTCGTCGTCCAACACCACGTCCTCCTCCTCTTCTTCCTCTCCATGTCTGTCGGCCCTCTTGTCTTCCTCTAATCTCCCTGCGCGATGGGCCCCTGTGGAGGTCAATAAAGACCATTGCTTTCCCGACTTCACGCTGCGAAGGCGTATCGCGCTCATTGCAAGAGAGGCAAAGCCGGCGGCGCTGACATTCATCCCGGGCACGTCAGCAAAGTCCGGCCCAGACATCTGTCTTTCTGCTTCCCGCTGAAGTACTGCCCCAACTCCTCCTCCTCTTCCTACAACACCCACTCCTCGTCTATCAGAAAGAATGTCCAGGTGAGCATCCTGGCGCAAACCCCCCTCCTCAAGCGACCAATCACTCATGTCCTTCTCCATAGCCCTTGTCGACGACGAAGACCGATTCTACTCTTGAATGCCAGACAACCTTCTCTTACTGCACTCTACTCCACATCTCCTGCCCCTCTCTCTCTCTCTCTCTCTCTCTCTCTCTCTCTCTCTCTCTCTCTCTCTCTCTCTCTCTCTCTCTCTCTCTCTCTC